GCGGATAAAAAACATTTTTTGAAGATCTTTTTAGTGTCATATTTGTGGTGAGCCAAGGTTATGCTACTGAACTTCAAAGAAATTCAAATGAATTATATCAAGTATGTGTATATGTGTGTCACGGCTACTGAGAACGTATTTTGCTAAAACGCTACTTTGCCACATTTTCATTAAATGCAGCTGTTGCAGCAATATAAACTGCTACACACTCAAACACACATATATCTTATGTAGACTACACTTTCTTAGTACTTTGGCATAATAGGCTGTTGGTACTTGTGGCTTGCATTGCCACACAGGCTAAACTACGGCGCAGAGGAGCCGTCCTTAGCACAGCGGCAAGCTGCAATGAGCTACAAATTTCTCAATTGTCAACACCAGAAGCAAAATGACAGAATGAAATTAAACCAACGTTGAAAATGAAGATGGGAAGAATGGAAAGATATTGCAGCAAGCGGCGGAGGCAACAAATAATGGCTGACAGACTAGTTGGCTGACTTTTTGGCGAAGCAAGCGGACACAAGCCCTGCAATAACAGCACAAGCTTTTCTGTCAATATAACCTTTGAATATCAAAGGAAGCTGTGCGCAAATTCACCCAGCGTGCACAAATTTTCTGAAAGACTTTTCCTGTTTGTAAATATGAATCAAAATATATTTCACGAAAGATTTTCATGACAACGACAGAGCTTAAGCTTTGTTAAAGTTTTCCTTAGAGTTCAGAGCTAAACAAGTCCCTATGCTCTTGTTTTTTCAATTGGATACGTGTGCGCTCTTTAATACTGTCAAAACGAGTTTTTATGAAATGTTAAGAGGGCTTACGGCCCACGACTAGTAGCGCAGATTTATTCTCGATTCTTGTGGATACGGTCCTACTCAATTCATTGGAAATGGATTCACTCGACCATAACATGCTTAGAAGCATGCATTCACCTTTTCAGTTCAGCGCCGCCGGATTTAAACAGTTCACCCGGTAATCCGTCGGTTCCTGGGGCTTTGACGGGACGACAATACTGTTAGGGTAGGCTTTTCTTCATCCATTGCAGCACTGCATCGCCCACTTAGACATTGGAAGACCAACATGGCTAAATTGACTGAACTTTACGGCGTCTCCGACGTTTCCTTCTGGTTGTTACAAACCTGAAGGTTCTGGCCAGAGAATAGAAATTTCTTCTTTGATAAGATAACCGCAAACTCTCTTGAATTGAGTTTTATGCAATTTTTAGTACCAGCATTCACCGTCATATTTCAATGCGATGTGATCGCAATCGAGTGCGGAAATGTTCTAAGTAAGCAAAGCGTTACCAATCTCAACAATCTTGTGCGCTCTGGCCCGTTGAGTTGCATCGAGCTTGCTTACATACAAACTCGCAGAAGCGCTCATAGAATATGCATTCTCTTGGAACTGTGGCAAATGTGTTTCTGTACGAAAGTTCATATAATATGTATGTGGCAGCGCATCTCATTTGCTTTCGACAAACTCATTTGGCTGATTCTTGTGAATTCAAAATGTCTAATGGTTATTACAATTTTGATTATTTGCATCTGAAATAGATTTATTGTTATATGGTAAAGTCATAGCCTTACTCAACTACTTGCAAGGCTAATAGTTACAACAACTAATATACACAGCATGCTGGATATAGAATATATATAGAATATTCTTGTTTAAAATTTATTATATCTAAGTGTGAGCGTGTACAACTTTTATAAGTCTCGTATGTCATATGTACACCAAATAATCGTATGTAGATATTATATAATATGCAGTGGCAGAGACATCTGCTCGTTTAAGGCGAAGATGAAAGAGATTGTAGGGTGTTGAAATTTAATGATGTCTTAATGGCGGACGCGAAGACAATTGTGCAAAAGGATAAAATATGCACAATTATGATAATATAAATAAAAATTAGTACTTCAAGCTTGAGCAGCTTGGCATATTTGTCAAGTGACTATTATTTCTTTGTACTCAAACACAGACTTAGATCGAAGTACATACATACTAGACGTGCTAGAGTGTGAGTGAGGCAAATTTCGTATTATTTAGGCGAGGAAATATGTTTTATATGCGACTGCAACGACATCTATTGGTAAAATACGAAATTACTTTTTCTACTACCCAATATTTTTATCGGATGATAGCAGATCTTCTGTTATATTTGTCTGATCTAATCACTTGTAATGACTCTTAATAAATGCAATGTTCATCCACATACAAATTCCACATATTCAGCAACTGATCCCTTGCCCTGAAAATCGCATTCTGCAATTGCCTGCAGAGCCCCTTTCTTTCCGCTGCGTCAGCATTTCAAACTAGCGAAGCCTACATCACACTTCAACACAATCAAGACACTTTCATCGACCACTTTGAGTGGTGGTGGCGCATTTCCAACCGACACTTTGTGGCTCCGCCGCTAACCTGCTCACGCCCCAGTTTATTGACCCTCAAAACAAACCCTTCAGACTGCCGAACACATGCGCATATGTACATATGTAATGTATTCAGTTGTACAGATTACAACTGGTGCAAATATGGCGCTTAACTACTTTGCCGCTAAAGGTTTATACGCTAACGTAAATAGATATAGATAATACTCAAATCGGAAACAGTTAAGTATTTAACCTTAAGCGATGAACTTAATAAGTTTTAGATTAAAATTTTTAAATAGAAATGTTTTATCCTAATTATAGTGGAATTATTTTCAGAGCCTTATTACTAAAACGATAAAAGACTTAATATGGAAATTGCGCATGGGATAGTTGAGTTTGCTGCTACCTTCTCACTAGTTCATGCCAGGACCCAAGATTCACATCCTCATGCACATGTTTGCCCAAATGCAAGCAAATATTTTCACGCTTGGTATATTGAAAGGAGACATGCCACTGCGTTTGTATGGTGAACATTGAAAATTAGCATGCAGAGGATATGCCGAACACACTCGTGTACACAAGTAGCCGAGCACTGAAAGCTCATATGCTAACAAAATGCTAACATGAGCTTTAATCTACAGTATATACGTGTATGTATATATACATATAATAATATACATAAGTGTATGCACATATATATGTAATATATAATGTGTTCTTGTGCACGTTTGTGTTGCCAGCCATATCCTGCATATATCCTTTCAAAACATGCTGCCAAAGTATAAATTAAAATCCGACAGCAGAACATGTCGAACGCTCTTCCAGCGAGTGCACCAGCCAAGCAATGGCGCTACCGAAGCCGTAGCGAGCAGGCGAGCCAGGCGATTTCATGCAGCCAGACTTATCGGTGCAATTTGAATTTTAAATTTCGAAAATGAGGAACCATAAACGCATATACTTTTGTGCATATGTATATAAGTGTATGTATGTGTTTGTGCACTCCTGTTTGCATTTGCAACATATTAAATGTAAATGGTTGTGCTTTAAGTGTTCGCGAACGACGTGAAAATGTTCGATAGCGAAAGTGAAGTGAAATGGGTGTGGGAACTCTCAAAACACACACACACATACAATGGTATGTAGCAAATTAATTAAGCATTTACTTCTGTATAGTAGATTTCAATGCAATTGGTTACATATTTTGGGCACAATTGTGTATCTGATTGTATGTATGTAATATAAAAAAGTGTTTTTTTTATAAGAACTCCAAAAATTTAACTTTGTTTGGCGAAAAGAACTTTAGCGCAACACTTTTTTATTGAGTTATATAATCACTAAGTGGATTCTTCTTTACTAGCGTAGACAACGCTTACCCCGTTATAGCCGAAAACAGGTCTTCTTTTCCGCGACTGTTTTTTACTTTTCGATGGGTAATTTTTTACGTGGCGGATTACAAGCCCAGTACACAACACTAAGTAGAGATGGTTCGCCTTCTCACTTTAGCTCGCCTTCAAACGAATGTTCTTTGGCTAAGCAGAAGATACTTAATCTAACACCGGAAGTCGTGAGCTGCTTGAGCCATATGTAAAAGAATCCTCTCTGGCCACTCTCAAGTGAATTGTAATCAGAGAAGTTTCTTCATTTGCGTGAACTTCTACACATAAATCCACCCTCAGTGGGTTAGTATTAGTCTTTGGAAGCTAGAAGTCGCAGTTAAATAGGGGCAAGTTCAATTTGTGGTGCGTTGCAAACGTTACAAATTCTGATGATTTTTCAAATACTTACCAAATACAACCAGTTGACTTATATTCATATACTTTCATATTGAGATAAGGTCCACTTCTCGGCTACTTCATTTCCATTGAGAAATGTTTATCGTACCTAATAAACGTTTTTAAAACGTTACGTAAGAAATCGAGGGAGGATTGATCAGTACCGATGTAAAATTTTTGGAATTTTACCCTCGACTTTGCTGTTAGTTACAAACTTCCAATGAAAGGAACATTGCCAACAGGTGCTTTGGTGTAGTTTAGCTCACAAAATCCAACGAACCCGGATGGATGATGATGCTAAAGCGAAATATTCCAACGACTGCAGATCCTAGGGTGAACAAGGAAAGTAAGGGTATCCATGCATTCAATGAAAAAATCAAGTGCATAGATACCTGTCTGTTCTTGGGTGTACCATTGACGTGACTTCACAAAGGAATGAAGCAACTGGCGACCAGTGGATGTAGTATAAAGGAGAAGAAACCCTCTTTTAAATCATAAATCAGATCCAGTTCAGTTACTAAGTCCATGAGGAGTAGTCATCCTTTAGAATCTCTACGCTTGTCGTGAATTGGCTGGTCAACTAAATAAAAGACATTTGAAATTACTTTAAAAACTAGAAACAAAACTTTCCCTAATTCGCTTCAAAAAATAAATAATAATAAGACACAGAATAAATTTTGTAGTATGATTTTTTTTTTAAGGAAAAGGAGGCGCAGGCTTTATTAATGATCAACAAATAATGCATACATTTATAGCACGAATGCAATCTTTGTGTCGCATTTAGCATATATTCGTGAATTCTTTAAGATTATGTGACAACTATCATTATTCCGAAACATAATATTTACGTTATTTCTCTCTAGGAAATTTGAAAAAAGACCTTCACGATACCCACTTTAATGCCATAGAAATACCAGTCGGTGTGAAAAGTATACTCTCCGGTAGGTAATGGCAGCACCTGCGTTGCCATATGGTTGACATAGCTGATGGGCAGCTTTTCAACAACCTCGTCTTGCTGAAATTATATTGAGAACACTGATATTTAAACGCCACTTCTCATTTTGTGATAAGTTTTGACCTACTGGACCATATGGGCAAGTCCTATTTATGGTGGAGTACTTCTCGAACCAGCTGTGAAAATACCGTACAACCGGATTGGCACGCTTCTTCAAATATTTGCAGGCGTCAATGGTGAAGTTGTACAGAAACGGTTTGTATCCATTTGCTTTACGCAGCAAGGCGAACGACATCTACATAATGCATTATAAATATAAGGAACTGTAGAGTTCATCTTCGTAATTTTGACTAATACGTACCGAAATATTATAAACTGGTTTCTTTTGGGGAAATTTCGCACGCATCGTGAAGTACTTGTACGAGCGATTAACTGCTTTTAGAATGCAAGTATCGAAGTAAAGGTACGACCGATTGGTGTTAATGCAAATGGCATTACGAAATTCCAAACTCGTCTTTACCGTTATCTGCTTAATGTAAATATTAACGTAAACGATTAAGCTTCAGAAATGTGCCGGGAAATACTTACGGTAAGTGCGCTAAGGACTATTACAAGAAATATGAGTGTGTTCATGTTCACTTTCCACTTTCCTAGGCGCCGCGTTCCGGACCCGCACGATGCGACTGCTACTAACTAATTGATAAAATGATTCTTTAATAATCAATTGTAGAATAAAGCATTTTTAAATGCTTGTAATTTTATAACAATTTTGGCAATATTTAATGGCTTCATTTTAATTTCCCGTCTGGCAATTTGATATTTTTGAAATTGGCAAATCATTAGATTTTGTTGAAAAAATAATGATATCGACATGTTTTAATAGTCATAGTTTCCCATTGGATGAAAGCATTTCGAATTAACCCATCCGGTTCTTAATGTCATTCCGTAGGAATGCAAATCGATATGAGAAACGAACTCATCCGTTGGTAATCACTGAACCAAATGTGATTAACTTAGTCTAAGTTAGAAGAAGTGTAATACTTACGGTAAAAGTCCGCAGATTAGTTCCCAAAGTGCCACGTTACCCATTTTCACCGTCAATAAGATTGCATAACTTATACTGCACTGAAATGAATTATTTTGTCGACTTTAGCTGTGGACAATTAAGATTATTGTTTAAAATTGAGGTAAGCACAATACTGCTTGTATATGAGAAAGTTATTGGATATAAAGAATTGTATAAAAAGAATGTTTTTCCTTACACCAAGCAAATAGATATAAGAACAAGTAAGGAAGGGCTAAGTTCGGGTGTCACCGAACATTTTATACTCTCGCATCAAATACCGTATTTGTGTAAAGTTTTATTCCGCTATCATCATTGGTTCCTAATGTATATATTATACAGAAAAGGCATCATATGGAATTCAAAATAGCGTTATATTGGAAGAAGGCGTGGTTGTGAACCGATTTCACCCATATTTCGTACATGTCATCAGGATGTTAAGAAAATATTACCTACCGAATTTCATTCAAATCGGTCGAGTAGATCCTGAGTTATGGTTTTTGGTCCATAAGTGGGCGACGCCACTCCCATTTTYAATTTTTAAAAAAAGCCTGGATGCAGCTTCCTTCTGACATTTCTTTCGCAAAATTTAGTGTTTCTCACGTTTTTTGTTAGTCGGTTAACCCACTTTCAGTGATTTTCAACATAACCTTTGTATGGGAGGTGGGCGTAGTTATTATCCGATTTCYTCCATTTTTGAACTGTATATGGAAATGCCTGAAGAAAACAACTCTATAGAGTTTGGTTGACATAGCTATAGTAGTTTATGAGACTCTTTTCCAAACAAATTACGTCCAAATATGCACCTCCCTAATGCGATCCTTTATGCCAAATTTCACTTTAATATCTTTATTTATGGCTTAGTTATAAGTTTTCGGTTTTCGCCATTTTGTGGGCGTGGCAGTGGGGCAAATCGGCCATCTTCGAACTTAACCTACCTATGGAGCCKAGAAATACGTGTACCAAGTTTCATCATGATATCTCAATTTTTACTCAAGTTACAGCTTGCACGGACGGACGGGCGGACAGACAGACATCCAGATTTCAACTCTACTCGTCACCCTGATCACTTTAGTATATATCACTTTCTTACAAACAACCGTTGTGTGAACAAAACTATAATACTCTCTTTAGCAACTTTGTTGCGAGAGTATAAAAACCGTAAGAAAACAATTGCATATGCGCGACCGAATATACTTAATATTTACGGTATCGGACAAAACATTTGCAAATGAAATATAATAATGGAAACACTGTTGATTACACAGAAAATAATTGCTGAAGACTTACTATTTTAATTTAATTTTAATCGCAGCGGTTATCCACTGTGGTTCGGGGTATATTTCTTCTTCCCTCCAGGGTCCTTTGAAAAAACTGATCAATATTTGGCACATTAATAAATACACATAAATTTTATATGGGATTAAGGCCTAGGGATTGGGGAGGCCACTCCATTACATCCACTTTATTCCTCTCTAACCACGATTTTGGGAGCCATATGCTTGGTCGTTGTCCTGGTGGAAGAGCCACTTATGTGCCCAATCGGCATGTGGCAACATTACGGATTCCGTAACATCTCTATGATCCATGCTACCATTATTACGATGAAGCGGCCCCAAACTAGAAGCAGAAAAGCATTCTCAGACCATAACACAGCAACTATGTTTGACTGTTTTTAGACAATAGATATTTTTAAGACGCTTGTTTCGTGGGCGTCGAACGAAACACACGCCATCACTTCCTACCAAATTAAATTTGAACTCATCAATTAAACGAACAGTTTTCCACTTGCTTATTGGCCATTCTAGATGATTTTTAGCGAGCATAATCGTTTTAGTTGATTACGTTTGCTAAGCGGTTTCTTCGCTGGTCGGTAACTGTGTAAATCAGCGTTATTTAGGCGATGAGCGACCGTTCTTGAGCGACCTTTACCAATTGTGGAGCTGTCAATTTTTCCATCAGTTTTTCTTGGTCGGCGACACAATGCACTACTTCGACAGTTTTATTCCTAATCGACTTCGAAATTTTTCGTAAGATTGATGGCTTGTGAATTCTGTACTTTATAGAAATTTCTTTTGAGAAGTTCCATTATTATAATCATCAATAACACGGGCTCGAAGTGCTTCACCGAATTGATTTAGAGCCATTACTTTTTTTGTAAAAAAAGAAATTCAAATAAAAATATGTTTTCGCAAAAATCCAGAGCAGAAGTTATGCTCAGTAAATGTACTAATTAATTAAAGGAGAAAAGAAACGAATAAAACAGAGTTGCAATTGCTTTGTCGCGGCGGATTGGCATACCTTTGAAAGTGTTTTCAAGTATAACCGGCAAAATAAAAAAAGAATCGCGATAAACATTGCAAAATATGTAACTTCAATGCTGTAAATTTAAAAACAGGAAACAACACGCAATTCGAAGTAAAAATGGCATTGTGAGACAAGAAAATGTAGAACTACGCATTAGTTGCGAATGCTTTGTCCGATACCGTAAATATTCGTGGTCGAATAGTGCTACTAATCAATCTGTGTCATACCATATAGTGTTGGAAAGGGGAAATTTCAAGCTTCATTTCACCAAACAAAAATTCAGAGAAGTTTAAAAAAAAGTTATAGATGTTCAAAAATGAATGAAAAGAAGGAAAAGGTAAGAATGCCATGCAAACCACTGATGAAATTTGTGGACTTTATGAAGAGGACGCTGTATCAGTTCGGTTAGCACAACAATGGTTCGCTCTTTTCCGTTTTGTAAATTTCAATTCGCAGTGATAATGTCTCTAGCGGAAAAATGGCAAAGAGTGGTCGACAAAAATGGTTCATATTTGCATATTTATATATTAGTATAAATAAAAAAAAATACGTTGAAGTTTGATTAGAAATACGAAAACACTTTTTCGACTACCCAATATTCGGACGAAGGCGAGCAACTTTGTCATTGAAGTCAAAAATGAAAATATTTCAAATTTTAAGTCTGGTGTCAAAAGGAAAGACTTACAATATCGCGAAAAGCATTAACTTAAAAAGTTCAGATGAGTTGGAGCCATAAAAATGGTTTGTTCAAATGATGAAGACAGGGCTAGGACCGACACGAAACCATTTACCGCCCTAGGCAAATGCCAATTTTTCCATTCTCACTCTTTGCCTATATGGACGGATCGGTTCTGGAAGGACAATTGTGTTGGAAAAGGTTCAGCAATTCGCGATCAAACTTGGCTTAACGGACGTCATCCCGATTCAAGAGGAATGGAAATATCGGTTTTAAACGAATACATGGAGAATCAGCATCAGCAAATCATACAGGAAGCAATAAACATACTTATTTACGCCATCAGCAAGTATAAGGTATCATTGTAAAATTGTTCTTGTTTCGTAAAAATTCAATCAAAAAAAAAAAAAAAAAAAAAACAATAACCAGATTCATTAAATAGAAAAAAAGTTATTTAATTTTTCTTTGGTAGCGGCTTAGAAATAAAAAAAATTGTTCTACCAATTCATAACGATGCATGTCATAAGCTTAGTTTCACTTCACAAAATATATAAATGATTTTTAACGCCGTTT